GGTCAAGAGATGACGGAACAATGAGCTAAAAGTTTGGACTTGAAAAACACATCGCCATTCTATGAGCCGATATGCCGCGGCTAAAATGTTACATTCAAACCCTCTGTATAAATACTCAATAAAACGTCGAAGAAAATACAGAATGCATCCAACTTAACTACAGCTATTTGATTTTAGCAGGATTCAAGTGATGAATATTGTTGTAATTTCAGGACATTTAACAAACGATGGAAAAGAAAAAATGTTCAAACGAATGTGCTCGCTGGATTATGATTAACATATCAAATTATTAGTTTCTGTGTATATGAAATGTACCATATGTTGAATAAAAAGCAAAACACTGGCAGATAACTTCATTGAATAAAACATGCGTTTCTGCCGCGGAAGGTTACGTATTACTCATTACATGCAAGGGTTTATGTATTACACCAGTAAAGAACTGAATGAGGGAAAGGAAGCGTATCAACTTTATCAATCTTTGGTAGCAGGTGCTTCAGTAGTCATGACGTTTTCTTGAATAATAAAAAGGCTACGTAAAGCTCAGTATGTAGTTTATAAATTTTGATTAAAGTTTTCCGCCTTATTTCTCATTACTTTAAGTTTTCTCTGCTGTATTTCGCAATGTGAAGTTATATTAGCTATAAAAACAGATATTTTTCTCATATGTTTTAGCATACACTCCTGTGGCTCAGCGGTAAGTCTCAGATCTTATAACTCTAAAATTTGGGTTTCGATACTCGCGGTGGGCTGAGCACAAATAGACCATTGCGTGGTTTAGTACTTAACAAATAACAAACAACATAGATTTTATGTGAAATATAAAATTATAGAATAAGTAACACATTGTTAACATGGTGTTTATTTGTTTGGCAGATTTCTTTGGTAAGCTCTTATTGTAACGTGGGATGCAATAAAAACTATGGTAACATATGTACCATCATATATACATACATGCATATTCATTAACCTCTTAGTTCAAATCCCGACATTCGGTCAGAGAAGAGTACTCCAGAGAGATGACGTAGATGATGTCGACTTGCTACCTTCCCTCTAGCTTATCATTTCAGAATTAGGAGAAGCTTTTTGAGAATAACCTTTGTTTATGTATGCGCGAAAATTCTAAAACAAACCATAACATGCCATACATACCCATATCATCTCAAGATCAAATAAACTTAAGGCATACTTAATATACCAGCATAAATTATTCACGATCCAATGCGAAGCTAAAGACCGCAGTAAACCGATCATTATTTGTTTGTTTATTTGTAATTATGCACAAAGCTACACAATGGGCTATCTGTGTTCTGCCCACTACTAGTATCGAAACCAAATTTCTAGCGTTGTAAGTTCGCAGACATACTGCCGATCGAGCTCCTACATCACCCTTAGTTTCTTTTATAGCTACTCTCCAGTGTGGGTGGGGGGGGGGAGTCCGTACCTGAAAAAATACCGGATTAGGGCGCATATCAGTGGTACCAGGGAACGTGTGCTAAGTTTCTTCCTGTTAGTTTGAGAGTGGGGATTTCCAACAGAGCGCCTCCAGGAACAAAACTTCTATCTGGGTTCGAGTTCAGTGACCCTGAAACCTACTCGTGGACCCACATCATTCCGGGGAGAGTTTTAGCTCCCCTTAATACCCTCTTGGTAGGGGTTACAGCACACAGATAACGACACCTCTAAGGCCACGCCGAGTTTGCCTGTCAACTTTGTTTTTTCTAGCTCCAGAACTGTGGGAGGAGTTAGGTGGGCATAAATACTTACAAAGCTACAAGGACAAAGCTCTACATGCTGAAAATACGACTACCCATTAAGTATTTAAGGTACGTTTCACTGAACCGGTGAAGAACACTGGTCAATTGAAACTGTAACTTTGAATGGTGTTAAGTTGATTCTTGATAACCATGATTCACTACGGGGAAGCGCAATTGTTTGACACTTGTATCATAGTTTGTGCCAAACTGGGGACAGCTTTGGTACTTTAAGATATTTGTTGACGTGTCTGCGACCCTTTGTTATTGCGGACACTTTTCTTTGAACACACAGTCTGATATTGAGATATGCGCGATCCTCGGGTATCACCAGAAGAGGAGCACTGACGACTGCTTCTTACACTGAGTGGGTAGGACGAATTGACTTCGTTTTCTGTCGGATAGCTTCGATTAGCATTGTTATTATTGCTGGTTGCTTCAGTACTCTGGGCCATGTAGTCTTGAAGGACACTACGACAACATAGTTGCTTCAAGGCCGTGATGAGATTGTGATTGAAAGCTAGATATATCCAGGGGTTAACACAGCTGTTCAAGCTAGCAAGGAGCATTAAAATGGCAACCGTTGGTCCTGATGAAGAGAGAAAAATCGAATAAACATGAATGCAAAGACACTGATATTGAAATTATTTCGACATTGCTAATACAATAATAACAACAATAGCTGTGGTATGTATGATCTTGTATATATTAAATTGTTGATATTACAAAATCATACAAACCACAGTTTTTTATCAAAAAATAAGATAAACATTACTAAACTTAAAACTAATTATGTAAGACGCATCTCTAGAGTAAATGCACACATTATTAACACTCAAAGCTTAGCTTTAGAATAAACACACTAGGTGTACACTGTTTTTTTGTTGTTATTAAGCACATAGCTACACAAAAGGCTATCTGTTCTCTGTCCACCATGGGTATCGAAACCCGGTTTCTAGCAGTATAAATTCGCAGACTTGCCACTGTGCCAGTGGGGGGCAGGTGTACACTATAATATTGGAGTAGACGTTTTTAACACATTCACTGGATATTTATAGTTGTTTTTTTTACAGTTTGTGATCCCACATATATTTGTTTTACGTATTCAAACACATTGTTAGTACCAAACTCATGATATGAAACAGAGAGATTTATCTTAGGTTTTTTTCTTTATTCGTTAACTTTTTGAAAGAAGAAACATGTATAATGTAAAAATAAGATAATAAAACGTTAAAACATATTTGACGAGAAAAACCAAGTATCTCTCTAAACTTATGAAGACAACTCCAGATTTCCTCGGAAAACTGAAAATAAATCCTGAAGTAAGACATTTAACTCCTTCAGTGAAGCTTCCTCAGCTGGTAATAGAAAAATAGATTAGAATATACGATGGTTTTAAAATTTTCGAAGGCGTTGAAGAAAGATGAAGAAAATGTAATTTATAAATATTAGTAATAGAAAGCGTTTATAATTACTTTCAGGAGCCTTTAATTAAAAAGAAAATAATTATTTATAGATAGCTTAAATTTTGTGTGTGTAAAAACGTGCTATTAGTATTCATTTTTAAAAAATAATTTAAAGATTTCATTTTTATATTTTGTTACTATTATGCACTGAATATCCCAGTTACAAGCATTTTGAACTTGAAGCTTTTTTTTTAAAAAAATGCGTTTTAAATATACAATCATTTTTATATCCTCGTAAAAAAAGGGTTACTGTAATCAATTAATAGATTGAGTCTTTCACATATCAATAAATAAAAGTTACAACAAGATTAAACGGTTACATATTTAATAGCTTAGTATTAGTCGATGTTTCAGTTAATACAGCCTGACGTATGAAAATATTTGTATTCGTATTATTAGAGATGACTATATAGAAAACACAATTATGTGAATGATGTAGTTGGTTTAGAATGTCGTAATAATTTTAAGGTATCTTATAACCAAGATGTTTATATTACCACATAAAACGTTGCTTTGATAAAAGTTGATCAAAGGTGGAAAAAAAAGGAATGATATTAAAATAAATACCGCAGTGCCCTTAATTAACGCCCCCGGAAGCGTTACAAATTGCAAAAGTGGGGGGCGTTAATTATAGTATTTGTGCAGTTCTGGATTTTATTTTTGATTTGTTGATTTCAATGCTAGGGCTATTTACTTATTGGTAAGCTGCGTAGTTCTCTACTGCTATATCATATAATATTTTTATATTGAACAGGATGACAATGTTAAAAATATACGAGTGTAACTATCCTCAGTGTATATATACCGTATTGCCCCTAATTAACGCTCACGGTATTTTTATAAGCAATAGTAATCCAACATATAATCTCCTACCGTAATCCACTTTATTACTGTAATTTTGACAGCAATAATAATCCAACGTATAATCCACTTTTATTAGCGTAATTTTAATTTAAAAAAAACAAAACAAACACACACACACAGGCGCTTAAATCTTAGCGTGCAAATACGGGAATAAGTATGTAAAGTTTTATTTAATTGTTATTAAATACAAAGCTACATAACATATTATTTGTTCTCTGTCCACCACTGGTATCGAAATCCGAATTTTAGCGTCTTAAGCCTGCAGACTTGTAGCTAAGCCACAGGGGGCAAATCGTCAAAGACCAACAGTGCAATGAACGAAAGGATCTGGTTGGAACTTTGGATATCTAAGAAGAACCGACGATTTATACGTGAGGATTCAACTTTATAATTTATAGAAACACACAACGAAATACTTCTAAATAATGACACTCTACGCATACTTTCTATGACAAAAACACCAGCGCTATTTTAGTTAGATGTGTCTGTTTACACCTTCTCAATTTTCACCATTCAATGTAGGAAATGGGTTATAGCGATTACCATTCGATCCGGAACGAGTTTAATATAAATCCATAAATTCGTCATCCCAGACGTCAAAAGTGTTATAAATACACTAAAACAGATTGTCCAGAACATGCTTCTGTTCTAGATGCAAACTTGTTATAGTTACACCAAGACAGATTGGCTAAAACATACTTCTGTTCTAGATGCAAACCTATTATAATTACACCAAGACAGATTGACCAGAACATGCTTCAATTCTAGATGCAAATTTACCATCTAATGTTTGTTTGTTTGTTTGTTTTTAATTATGCACAAAGCTACACAAGAGCTATCTGTGCTCTGCCCACCACGGGTATCGAAACCCGGTTTCTAGCGTTGTAAGTCCGCAGACATACCGCTGTGCCACTGGGGGGCACCATCTAATGTCATTTGTAGATCAGTCAGGCCTTTACACATATATGACTATTCGTATATAATCACTAAGCACTTTTTAAAATCATCAAGTATATCCTGAAACACTCTCAAACAGAAAATACAACACATAGTAAATAAATCACATCACAAACATTATCAAAAAGCATATAGAAGATTAAGTAAAATATACACGAACACAATAAACCCACAAATATCAACAAAATAAATAAACCTTCTCAGAAACACAATAAGCAATGAGATACAAAGATTTAAGAGAAGTAACTGGGACGTTTTGTACTCACTATTATATTCACAAACATTTTTTAGATACATCTAAAAGGATACACAAATGGTGGACTAAACAAACAGTTTACTCACACAAAACAACCCACAATCTTACAAAAACGAACTAAAAGCAAACACGGTCGTGTCACATCTTTAGATTGTCTTTAAAATACGAAACGAAAAAGGTAAATGTGTTTTTAAATAATAGGCTATAGTCCTACAAACCTAGACTTAAGAACAAAATACAATTACACATTAAATATTACAATTCACAACCAATCACCACCACAGACATCAAGGAAATAAACTTATATGGAAGCTCCTGAACAAGACAGATTACATAACTTATTTTAATAGAGCACTCGGGGACTATATGAACATCTGACAGCTCTCTTTTTAATCTACCTTTAAAATCAAGTTATGTACCAAACTCTTGTAATCAAACCAATTTTATCATCTTCTTTAAAAAAGGAAAACCAGTGGATAAATCAAAAAACTTTATAGCAATAAGCCTTACAAATTGTTATTATAGTCCCAAGTGGACTTCTTATAATTTTGAAATTGAACACTAAATTATTCTAAATTAAAAACAGATTTAGAAATTTTAGAGAAACCACCAATAGCTTAATTAGACTTACTCTAAAAATTACAGAAAGTTTTTTTTTTTAAAGGAAATTTGCATAGTAGCGTGTTTTCTCGGTGTCGAAAAGCATTTGACAGTGAATAGCACATGGTCTCCTGTTCCAAAGATCCTAAATATAACAATAGCGGAGTATTATCTGCTGATGTTCCAATTATTTGGAGAACACGAAAGTGAATGTGGAAGGCATCTACTTAGCATGATTTACTCCTGAGGCGGGTGTTCCTGAGGGAGAGGGTAGTTAGCTCTGTTTTGTTTATCATGAGTGTGAGCATCTCATCCCAATTTACAGATGATGTGGTTACCTGGAAGAGATCCCCATTTACTCCTATAGCATCCAATAATCTTCATACTATTTTAAACTGAATAGAAGACATTCTTTGATAGATCCACCAGAATACTATAAAGACCGACAACACGTTACACACACTGACCATACCTCTAATCCACGTGCGGGGTGAAGGAGGTTTGCTTAATCTTCGAGGGCCCCTGATTATTAATTATTTCTTCTGAAATAATTAATTTCAAAGCAAAATAACTACCAGGAACAGGAACACACTAACCAGAAGAAAAAAGGTGGAAGACTTTCGAAACGTCGTCCTCTACACTTGTATCTCTACAACAGGCACTTGCCGTCCATTCCACAAAGTTTCATCATGAATAGAAGATGATGTAGCAAATGCGCATCAAAATAAATGTATAATAAACTCAATTATTTTTTGCTATCAAATTTACAAAAATCAGTAAACGCCCCCTTAAGTTATATTATAAGGAACTCTGCTTCAGCTAACCACGGCAGTTAAATTTCCAAGTCTCACATATGATGAGATTTATATGGATTAAGCTTTAAAATAACATCAAAAACAAAATCTAGGAAAGACTAAACTATCTAAGAAGTTTAGCTGGCAACAACAGAATTACTTCTATTCAAAACATGCTTAAAATCTAAAAATCATATATCAGATCAGTATTTGAATACACTTGTCCAGTCTATATTGATTTTGTCAAATTTATCCTGTCTGGAGATAAAAGGATGATATCCGTAAAGTTTCTATATTGTTATCCTGGATATACTTCTTCATTGTTCATTGAATTATTTCGTGACTGTTTGAATAAAAATTATATTTTGACTGATATTTATAACTATATTATACACCCTAATAATAGGGTTAAATGCCCCTCTCCCAATATATCTACTTTAGCTTCCAATTCTATGTCACGTAATGCTAGTAATACTAAACTACAAACATAATTTGGGCTAAAATTGGACTGTTTGTGATATGTACATTGAAATGTTCATGTGACAAACTTCAGCGAGATTTCAGCAAATATGTGTTTGTAGTGGCGTAGCATAAACAAGCTTGATAAGAACATTGTGGTATGTCTATACGTTCTCCTGATGTTTTCCTTTTTTTAACATAAATTGCATTGTAGTATATTGCAACAGCCCTGAGTTTACACTCTACATCACGGAGAAAAGGAAGTCAAAAATGCATCTGACTCTTCCAGGTCTTCCGAAAATAACTGAAATTGAGTCTAGATCCTGTAAATTAACAATATTTTTACCATGTCGCATATCTGGACGATAAGTAGGCAGTTAAAGTCAGTGAGTAATCGCCATATCACTTGAACTACCACTGTCTGTAAGGAACAAGGTAAAAAAAAACACTTCCAGCTACTGTCTATAAGAATAAGGTAAAAAAAAAAAATAACACTTCCAGTCATGTTGGAAAACAAAAGTTTCTGTACGACCTAGATTTCCAAAACCAACAGAATAACCTTTTTGTACTGTGAGGAGAACAAGAAGGGTAGAGAAATATTATTGTCAAATGACCGCTACATTTGCAAAAAAGATGTATATTTGCTCTAGTACCATCAAATTTTATCTTCGTAACATATGTCACAACCTAGTCAGAAGCTACTCCTTATTTCGGTTAATATCGTATGTTGAAACAATGGGTATCACAGCTGCTATCACACGCTTCTGCCTTTTTTGGACAGAGTAAAATTTAATACAATTCTCTCAGAGTGAACTCACCTAGGTTTGGCGACTATCTTCTCAAGAATTTTCGTTGAACCGTCTGCTCACAACAAAATATGGCGGTATTTCTGTTGAGAATTGGACAGTTAGACGACACAGCTGATGATATGTTAAAGGACGATTACTATATCACAGTTTTCGAGCAAGACCTTCTATCTTCCAATGATCAGCTTTCCTGGTAAGGAGGTGTTTCATGAAAAATGGGACTCGCCCTCAATCAGCCCAAATCACAAAACAATGACTTAAAGATCAGAACATTGTCGCTCTCCCGTGACCAAACAAATCAATGAATAGGAATCTAACAAACATCTGCTCTTTCTTCTTGTTCGCCCCCTGCGAAAGTGTTCCAAACAAACAACCTCTATATTATCTAAGTCCTTTGCCCAAATTAGGATGTGATCCTGCAGTCCTAGAGTTAAGGAAAGTTTGAGAACTTTAATGGACTGCGATTGCCTGTTGAAAGAAAAGGAGTCGACGTTTCGGCTTCTCTTCTGAGGCCTTCTTCAGATTTCAGGTTTTGTAAGTATAGTGTGCTAACGTGTTTCTGCCACAAAAATTGTAAAGGGCAGAGTAATCTTTTGTTTCGTTTTTGTTTATAAAATAAAACAGCGTTTATTTCTGGAGTCGATGTTTATATATTGGTAATATGTGTATAATGTAATGTACTTCATATTCTTATAATGTATAGAGAAAACTTTAACAGCTGAAAGTTAGTGTTCAGTATTATGAACCAACAAGACAATATATATATATTCCAATTGTATGGAAAGTTGGACAATTGATATTTTTGTCACTTTACACGTAAGTCATGCTAGATGACTGAAAACAATCTTAATTTTAAAATACTTTTCCCAAATTTCTCTTTAAAGTACCTTTGAACGAAAATAAAAGAGATAGTTTAGACTTAAATTATTTAGTATATTTCTATAAACGTAAATAGTATACGTTTAAGATCTTTTTATTTTCAAAACAAAAAGAACTTTCAAATACTTAATACCTAAAAACTAAAAACGTCTACCAAAACTCCCTGCATTCTTGAAATTATATAGAAACTCAAAGCATAATTTTATAATTAGCGTTTAACAATAAATGAAATTGTACGGTTTCTATTTTATAAGCTAAATTAAACTAAAGGTTTTTAAAATAATTTTAATGGTATCATTATGGTCCGCCGGTTGGACAACAGTAAGTCTATGGACTTACAACGCTACAATTCGAGGTTCAATTCCCCGCGGTGGACACAGCAGATGGCTTTGCTGCAATAAATAAAGTATTATTATTTACATATGATTTGAATTATACTTTAATCAATGTTCGCTCTCTCACCGAACCAAATAGGACAACGACATCATAAATATGACTATAAATTTGAAAGTAAGTGGATTTTTTAAATAAATTCAATAAATTTGTACAGTTATGATATTTATAAGGTTTTAACTTATTAAATCATTTCTAAATATCATTTGTATATCTATAAATATTTTGATTTTCGAAAACTTAAAAGCGGAATGTGATTTGTTTGTTTTGAATTTCGTGCAAAGCTACACTAGGGCTATCTGCGCTAGCCGTCCCTAATTTAGCAGTGTAAGACTAGAGGGAGG